CTTTTCAAGCTTCAGAGGCAAAAGAAGGGCCCTTAAAGTTTAGGAGAGAAAGGGAAAGGTCCCTCAATCAGGAATTTTCAACCATTTTCATCTCATGGCACATAAAAACTAATGACTAAAATTCTGTGGCATGCCAAAAAATACATTTTTTTTTGCTGATCTGAAAAAACACAGGTTTAATTTTGATTCATTCACACCCGAAGGCTATTGTGTTGGCTGTTGCCATGTTTTTATTGGACCATCTAAGGGAGAAGAGGTCAGTGCTGCTGACTCAATCGTCGGGCACTGCGTGTGTTAAATGTTCTGTGACGTACACCGGTGAAACCGGGCTGCTGTAGACAGAAGTACTCTGCCGTAGGAGCTTTCGCATTTTTTGAATAGACTCACATGAAGAAATACTGAGGTCCCCCACTGTAAAATGGGCCTGAGCTACATCATAGGATTTTTTGAAACGAAACAGTAAGCACCCACAATCGCTTTTATTACTCTGATTCTGCACTCAGCGTAATGCAGAAGGTAATTCTGCATTACTCAGAATAATTCTAATTCTGAGGTTTCTGCAATTGTTCAGCCCAGTTTTCCCAGAATAGTAATTGTTCCACATGCGTGTATAGTAAAGCTTCCCTGGCTGCAAGCTCCCATCCCCCTCACCTGTGTGCGCCGCAGAATAAGGCGCAGCCTCTGAAGGCGGCACCTAAAGGCGGTGTCCAGCCTGAGTCACACCTCGTCTTTGGCAGGTTCTCACATTTCTGAGGAGGCTCATCCCTAAACCCAGTGTCCCTTCATGCCCAACCATGTCCTCCGCTGTGTCTTCGTCTTGAGCCATGCTGTCTTCTCCTCTTTTATTTTTGCTTAAACAGCACCCACAAAGGCCTCGAGACCAAGCTCAAGAGTTACCATCTGTGGATGCTGGCTGTCCTGGGGACGGCCCTTCTCCCCTCTCTCCAGAATCCTATCCTCACGTTTAGTGAAGAAAGAAGAGACAACCGCATGCAAGTGTCTCACATCTCTGGAAGACGGAGATTGTGGGGCTCCAGAATGGCCGCAGCTTATGTACACCTGGGCGCCGATTGGAGCTCAGCCACGCTCCTGCAACTCCGCTCGGCGTTTCTCAGACAAACACTGAATCTCAGATGCTTGTGTGTCCCTGTTCTAGTTTTAGTTTCAGGAAATGTAGTGCTGAGACTAAGCCACTGTAATGGGAGAACGATGAACATAAATTTAATTCTTTACAACCAAACACAAAATTAAATGTATGGATTACAGCTGTTGAGGGGCTGTTTGTATTACGGCCCCTGGTGCGCCCGTTCCGGATGCATTGCTGGTGAGAGGAGGCAGGACAGTGTTAGGGTTTGTATGGAACAGATGGGTCAGCTCAGCTTTCTGGCAGTTGCTCTGCCGTCCTGGGCCCTGCACTGCAATTGTGAAACTCTGAAGGAGCTGGATGTCAGGCCCTCCTTCTGTTTTGCTTCAGGATGTTTCTAGTTGACTTAGAGAGAAAGGGGAAAGGCTGAAGGTGTGGCCAAGAGGCGGGGCAGGGGACAGGAGGTGCTGGAGCCCCTCTACCTTCATTCCTCCGACAGAAGAGTAGAGGGGAAGTGTTCTGTTGGGTGCTCCTGACCGACCCTGGGGAACGTGGCCTCTCTTTGGAAATTCGACTGTGTTGCCATCCCTGGAACCAGGGGGAGTGCTCCACAGTCCTAGTGGTCATCCTATCAAGGCTGGAATTCAACTCTGCCCGAGTCTGCTTACCTATCCCCACAGTTTCCTGCGTCTCTGAGCATCCTAGACAGAAGGGATGAAACGGTTCGGCTCAGATGAGAATGCAAAGCCAGGCCTGGGATCTGGGTCACCGGTTAGCTCACTTTCAGCTCCACATCGTGTCCAATAACCCTTCCTGTATCCTTTCTTTCTTAGTCAGCCTCACACTCATTCCCAAGTCCCTGGCAATTAAAAAGTTTTGGCACCTTTACTCACTAAATTTTCACCCCTTCCTTATGTACCATCTGCCCCTGGCTGCAGCGTCAGCCCTTACTGTTCCACCTGATGCTGTTTAACTGATACTGCTCCTACTCAGGTGTCCCCTAAACCAGTGTGCCACCACACAGTGCCAGGGCGGGCGCTGTAAAATGCAACGAGGCCCTTTCACTTGTGACATCCTTCAAGAAGTCCATGACATGGTAGGGACAGTTCTGAGCCCCCTAGTGTGGCACACGACACCTTCCACGTGCTGGCCCTACAACGTCCGCAGGCTCACCACCTGCACTTCCCCTACTCCAGCTGCTTGCGGCTTCCCCGAGCTCCCAGCCTTGGTCTGTGCTCTGAGCTTTCCTCCGGGCGATGCCTGCCACCAGTTTGCAGATGTGCCCTGTGTGTTTTTTTCAGATGTACCTTCTTCCAAGAAACCTCTCTCCTCCTCTAACTACTCTTGGCCAATAGCGCCTCCTTTGTATTTATCTAGAACACTCTTCTTATTTCTATCATGATATTTACTTCTTCAGTGAATTTCTTCGGATAGAGTGCCTGTATAGTGTGAATCTATATTTATTAAAATTACTAAATAGATTTTAAAAATAAATTTTTTCAGGTAACATTGGTGTATACTAAATTGATTTTTAATCTTCCAGCCCATCTTTTCCCAGCATCAGGGTCTTTGCATAGTTTTATCTGGAATAATTTTTTCCTCCAATCCTCCTTCATTCTTTCTTTTTAAAAAAATATTTTATGTATTTATTTTTAGAAAGAGAAAGGGAGGGAGAAAGGGAGAGAAACATGACATATATTGATAGGTTGCCTCTTGCATTCTCCCTGCTGGGGACTGGCCCACGAGCCGGCCCGCAGTCCACTGGGCCACACCAGCCAGGGCTCCCCCCTGCCTCCTACACAGCGGGCTACAATTTCAAATGATTTATGACAGTGCCCTGGCTAGTGGCGAACAGCCCAGGCACTGACATCAGAGTGCCTAGTTTCAAAATGCAAAATGGGTGACCTTATACAGTTTTCACACTCTGAGTGTCTGTGCTTCAGTTCCCCATTTATAAAATGGGACAAACAAACCTCCAAGGAGCAAGTTAAATCACATACCGGGCGCCAAACAGATTGTGCCTGGCATGTAGCTAATACCTATTGTGCTTAAAATAAGTATGTATTTTAAGTAACTCAATGCCATTTAACTGGAAACTCAAAAACCTTTGCCTCTGATATCTTTTCTTCATTTTCTTAGTTTTTTAAATTTATTGATTGGAGAGAGAGAGAGAGATGAAGGCGGGGAAGAGAGAAGGAGAAACACCAATTTGTTGTTCCACTGACGGATGCATTCACTGGTTGTTTCTTGTATGTGCCCTGACTGGGGAGCAAACCCACAGCCTTGGCGTATTAGGATGATGCCCCACTCAGGTGAGCCACCTGCAAGGCGCTGGTGTCTTCTTCACCCTCGTATCCTAGTGCCTAGCGTGGTGTACCAGGAAGTGCAAAATGAGTATGTGTGATCTGAATAAGCAAAGAAAGGTCTACGGCCACACCACCCTGAACACGCAGATGTCCTCTGGATGAGTGAATAAAGGACACGCCTTGCTTCAGAATATTAACTGAAGATAAGGAGGGCGTTGTGACTGCTCATCAGAGTGCAGTCAGAAGCAGTATCAGTGGCCTTCTTAAATCAATGATTAACTTCCTAACCCTTATGTTCACTTGGCTACAAGACCAAGGTACTCTTTTCTTTACTTCAAATGAAAACATTCAGGTGAAAGATAGATGAATGGAGTCGTTCTTGGATTTTTATTAGAGGAAACTGTGCTCTTATTTACTTCATTCAGAACCGGGGCTGACGAGGATGTTGAGGATGTTGTTGGAACAAGCCTGCTCAGGTTAAGGTGACCTTGCTCTGCACAGAACAGGGAGTCAGGGCGATGCACTTGAGGACGAGACGGCAGGCAGCATGGAAACAACAGGGGGATGGAGGCAGCTTTTTAAGCAGGTGAAACTCCAACAGGGATCTTGTAATTTATTTTTAGTGAGATCTTAGCTTTTGCCCATAAAAACCATCTTATGAAATTAGTGGTACAGACAGTGGAAAGGAAAGGACAACTTTTCACTTTTTAGTAGGGAAAGAAGGAAAGTTCTGTAAAAGAAGGAAAGTCTAAGGTCAGCCTTCCTAGGTTATAGATATTTTTTTTAAACCACAAAAGTTTCAACAAAAGAATTTAAAAAAATATTTTGGCGGGTAAAGGGGGTGAGAACGTTTATGGTAGAAAGCCCGGGCCAAGGAGAGACAGGGGCTGAAAGAGCCAAGGCAGAAGGGACCCTGACAGCAGGTCACTTAGTTCTCGTTCTCTCTGAAGGCCAGCTGGGGGCGGCAGGAACAGAGTGCGACAAATTCTGTTCATGCTGCCAAAGTCGGTCGGGACCAGTGGGCCCTCAAGGTGGCCCCATGCAACCTGCACCCTAAAGCTAAGGCCACCTCTTCATTTCCAGTGGCGGAATCAGTGTCAGTTGTCCTGCTGGCCAGCTCAGTGTGTGTTAAACATTTTCATTCCTGTCCTGTACTCGTTCCTCTGTGTCACACGTTTACCATATCACACCGTCTTAGATCTCGGAAGTCGTGACTCTGCACAAAGCTGCGGCAAAGGCAGGTGGTTGTGGTTTCAGAAAAGGAGCAACAGGGGGAGCAGGCTTCCTGTTAGAGGTAAAGGGCTGGCCCCTAGGCTAGCGACGCAGCGAGCGACTGCAGTGCAGTCCCCTCAGAAAGACCTCCGTAGTGCAGAGCCCCTCTCTGGGCGAACGACAGATGGCTTTCCAGTAGCTCTTATTTCCCCAGAGGACACAGAATCTCTTCTTTTGACAACCCAAATACCCTTTCTTGCATACAGTTTTGTGTCTGGAGTCTTTATCAGCAATGAAAAAGGCCATTCGAGCCCTTTCTGACCCAATGAGAAAGACCAGAGCTGAGGGAAGGCAAAGGAAGGAGGAGGGGGGAGGGGCTCTAGCGGGCATATACTTACCACCTTTTGGTTCCCTTCATTATCAGTGAGCAGCCACTCGATGTCCAGGGTGTCTTTTTCTGGAAGCCCCAACTGATGATGACAGGGCAAAGTGACCTTCTCCTCTGCCACTCTCCTGATCTCAGTGTGAGTCCCCGAGCTCCCGACATAGTAGGACACTGAAAGAGGGAAACCTTCCATGAGTACTGCAGAAACTACGGGGCAGTGCGTGGAAAGCAAAATTACATGGGATTGTTTCTGAGCATTCTCCTGGGCCATGGCCAAGTCCAGGTGTCCAGGAAGAAGTGTCTAGCACTTCTGGTCCAGGAAGAACCCTAGACCAGAGGTGCTAGAAGTCCCAGGATCTCCCATCACCAGCTCCTGCATTAACTGAATTCATCATATCTTCCTTAACTGCCCCCCCTGCCCCTGAATTACACTCCTACCAATGCCTGTTTTTCTGCCTTAGAGGGAAATAATGAAATCATTCAGGTCAACAGCAACTTGTCTTTTAATCTTTCCCTCCCCTACTAGCAGAGGCTTCCAATGGACAGAATCCCAAGGGGAAGGCACAGGTTAGCATCCTCCCCCCGAAGTTTCACTCTTAGAGAACCTTACCCTCCCTGGCCTCCCAGGAAAGCCTCGGGCAACAAGTAGGCTCTAGTTCCTGCTTCATCCAGGAACACACATTCTCTCATCCCCCCAACCTATTTTCCATTCTGTATAGTTTCATATCTTACAGTTTCAACCCTTTCTATCCAAAGCGAAATTCTGAGTTATCACATTTGGAACCTGTCCCTCCGTGGATCTGATATCCATTCAGCCAACAGGAATTCATTTCCACTTTCGGCTTTCTTTCCCCAGAACTCCCATCTTTTTCTAGGGATGGTATCCTGTTGGCAACTTTGGACTCCAAGCTCACCTTCTCTCCTTCCTATTAATCTCTCTCTTAGTACCTGGCCAAGGCTCTAACCCTGTTGATTATTAAGTCTACAGTATTGATGACTGATGAGTTGGTGTAATAAAACCCCACCTAGATTCCAGGTATGATGTGTCTGGCGTTCAAGGTGTGCTTGTCCTTACACAGTGATAAATAAAGAAGCACAACATGAAAAATGATCTCCTTCAAGCCATTCACAATACAACAATATTATACAACCTCCAAGTTAAAAGAGCCCCAAGGCCATGGCTTGTGTCGTTGGGAGCTGCCCTGACTGGTTTCAGAAGCAGTAACCCCCCCCACGGCTAAGGCTGAGTGAGAGACCTTCAGACCATAAGCCACTAAGGAGACAAAGCTTATCTTCCTGGCAGGAGCGCTGCTTCTGCTCCTTTTACTTCACCCTGACCAGCCCCCAATGCATGATCGGTTAGCCAATGATGGGTAAGATTCCTCAAGGGAAGGATGACCTAGGACAGGCATGATCACGGGGGACCCCAGGGAAGGACTTGGGGGCTACAGCAAAAGGGGATGATGGATCCTTGCCTCTCAGCTTTGATATAACCTGAGTCCTCATTCTGTCTGGGAGAAGTCTCCTAATCTCTTGGCTGCCTTACTTCCCCTGCCTCACTTAAGCCTGAAACAATGCCAGAGGTGGGTGCAGCCCTGGGCTGGAAAGGGCAGGTTCCCCAGGGTGATCAGGCCTAAGAAAGAATATATAAAATCCTGTGAAACCTGCTTTGCTAAGAATGTCTTCAATTTAAATGATACGGGTCCAAATGTAAAATGAGTTTGTTTCCCAAAGTTTCATGGCCCTTTAGCTAACTGACCAGGACTCAGAATAAGCCCTCAGAGTTCTTTGTATATTATCTATTGTTTTATCCTTACTGCCTGACAATGATCACTGAGTTTTACCTGTATTCCTATGTGAAATGAACCAAATAAAAGCCCTTTGAGGCTCCTGGCCCTTCTCCTCTGAGAGATCAGTCACCTTTCCTCCCCAAGCAGATCATGTCTTAGTAGTAGACTTACTCTCATCTGTAGTGGCCGGGGGGGAGGGGGGGGCCTGTGGACCGACCCCTCCCCATTGTGTGAAGTCCTTTCTCCCAGAACAAAATCAGTCTGCCACCTGAGAAGGGTTTTAAGCACCAAAGGCCAAGGACCACAACTAACAGAAACACAGAGGCTATCTCTTATTCCCTGCTCATTCACCAGGATTGATCAGCAGCAAACCTGCGGGGAGGAGGAGGGCCTGTACCTTGCCTGCAGGAAAATGAAATGAGGAAGAAGGGAGCAGGGGCCTGCGGTTCTCTCTGTGGGGCTGATGGGGTCAGAGCCCTGAGTGGCCTCCACCTTAAGAGCAAGAGCAGGTGGGCCCCAAGCTCCGTGGCAAGGAATGCACCCACAGAATTAGGCTGCGCATGGGAAGGAGCCTTCAGAACCAGCAGAAGTCCCTTGTAGGGTCTCACTTTGTTTCTGTTTAGCACTTGACTCTGCAGTGGGCGTGGCCTCCATTTAGTGAGCACTGCCTGTGGTTCAGCTCTAGAATGAGCACTCAGATCTACAAAGAAAGGGTTACTCTCTAAATCTGCTGAGGGAGTTAGCAACTTGCCCAAAATCACAGACTGGGAAGTGACAGAGCAGGGCCCGCCCACACCTGCGTCACTGCACCGCTCAGGCTCCGACAGCACACAGGCCCCGCGTTTCGTGTGGCTTCCTGGAGGCCTGGCTCTCCCATCAGCTGTAGGCTCCTGGAAATTAAGTGCAGTCCACCACTGCATCGCCATAGCACCGGCCCCGGCCTCACACACTGCAGGGGCTCAATAAATATTTGCTGGATTGATTTGAATCGAAGCCATGCATAATGCACAAACGGAGGCCCAGGGGTAAAAGAGTCACCCAATATCCTACAGCTCATTTAGTGGCAGAAATAAGCCATATAAAACCCTCCCTCCAGCAGTCCCCATAAAGCAGCAGGAAATCGGCCGGTCCGCACTGTACTGAGCTAAGCTTGTGAGGTCCCCTGATCACTTTGCATGAGACACAACAACGTTCATGTGAAGAACCTGGCACCATTTTTGTGCAGACCGCAGGCACTTCCTAGACATCGAGTAAACAAATGCAAGTATCAGCTATGAAAGTGCTGACTGGAGCCACTAGAGGGAATCAAAGGCTCAGGTTTGGTTGATGTCCCGACAGGAAAGCAGCGCGGTGGTGGGTGGTGCGATTTGCCAGAGCCAGGCTCTATTTATACCATGCCCAGAATTAAGTCTCAGGGCGCAGGGAGGGCGCCACCCTGAGAATACAAATGACTTCACCAGTTAGGGAGCCTGGGGTCAGCGCATGCACCTCTAGTTTCCCCTGAATCTCACCTCCCCAGTCTCGAGGGGGCCCCCGGGATCCTAGCAGGTTTCTGAGGCCCTTCTCTCCTTTTTTAACCCATAGCCCTGTTCTGTAGCTTAAGTGGATAGGGTCTTGGACTCTGCACCCCTAACCAGGCTTGGCAATGCCAGTGGGAGCCACCGAGCATGGGTGTGCTGCCTGGCGGGGGAGTGGGAAGGGCCCATCTGAACACCACTGGCCAGCCTGGGGTTCCCTGGGCATTCAAGTACTCATCTTTGTTAGGGAAGACCTTACAGATCGTCGAGATTCGATTTAGGAGGAAACTACAGCCTGGAGAATTGAAACGTCAAGGCACAAAAAGCCAGTTACTAGCAGCAAGATTATTCCCAAGGTGGGGAATAATCCGGCTGGGAGCCTAGTACTCCTGCGGCACTGCCGGGGTGGGGGAGGGGGTGCTGGGGGTTGGCAGTGCGCATGTCCGTGTTCACGGGCACCGGTGGTCACATAGCGGAGGCTGAGTAGAGGCCTCCGCATGCAGCTCAGGCACTTAACAGAGGACCGGGGAGAGCCTGGGAGAACTGCCCTTGCGGAGCCCAGTGCTCTCACCTGCAAGGCGGGAATTCAACAAAAGACCAGGGTAAAGTGCAGAGGCATCTCTACACAAAAGCTCACCTCCACTAGAAGGCTTTTCCTCCGCTGACTGGCGCCTGCAGCCAGTTCAGATTAATTTAAGGCTTTATTCTCTAAGGGGCATTTACGTTTATTAAAGATCTCTTGAACTTTCAAGACCTCTTCAAGGAGATGGAAGCAGAAGTAACTTTTTTTCAACATAAATACTTTTATATAAAACTGAGCCACATTCTGAAGATGAATCCACTCAGAAGATAATAGTAAATTATTAAAAGGCAATTTCTATTACCAGTTGACTCTTTCATTCACATTAAAACACTCATTAGAGAAGTCTTTTTAAAAACTGTTCTGTACAACGAGCCAGCATTGCTTCTGTGGTCAGGTCGATGTCTTGGATGACCCTTTTAAGGAAGTTCACTTGGAAGTTCACTTCAACTTAATGAAGCCCATAGCTTTCACACACTGGCGGAGCCTGTCTCCTCACAGATCAAGGCCACGTTTCTGCGCCAGACCACGTGGGCCTGAGCAGCCGGGCAGGACTGAGAACACTGGCCAGACTTTCTCTGATGGTTCCCCATAGAGCCACCAGTGACTCGTCTTTCTTTAGAAAAAGGCCGGGGGTCACTTTTAGTAGAAACTAGGATGCTGCACTTAGAGTATCTGTTTCTCTCTCATCTCCCTAACACAGAATTCTTCTGCTCCTCAAACGTGGGCTGAGTGCCCACAGGGTGTGCCGGGCACCTCGGAGTTCAGTCTGTGTGCGGACTCTGCCACGCATGGGCCTCCGGGGCAGCCACTGTCAGCACAGGCTGCTGGCGGTCCCCAGGGTCCCAACCAGGAGAGGCCCCAGTGCTTGGTGCACAGGTCGGGAGCAGGTGGGTGCTTTTTCAGGACTGAGTTCTCCTTTATCAGGCAGTGTATGAGTAACGACGTTAGAGAGTGGTCGTGGCTGCTGTTCTTCACTGGGGGGCAGGAGCCATGCTATTCACACTAACCCACGGCAGGGCTCCTGCTCCTGGGAGACCAAGTCCTGCCGGCCTCCCTGCACTCAGTGGTCGCACTTCTCTGAATGGACCCGTTCACTTACCCGGGGGAGTGGGAAGATAATTCTCTTGTGTTTTCCTTTACACGGAATATTTGAGAAAGTCTCAGTCCCCAATGTCATCAAATGTAAGAAAAATAAAAAGGACTTTGGAAAATTTAAATCAACTTCTCCCATTTTACAGATGAAGAAATTGAGGCTTAGAGAGAAGTGACTCACCTAAAGGC